CTCTCTCCCTATCTCTCTCTGTCTCAGTCTCTCTTTCTCCCTATATATATATATATATATATATATATATATATATCGAGAGAGAGAGAGTGTGTGCGTGTCTGCGTGTGTGGTCTTAAGAACCATGATCACTTGACTCCTGAAACTTACTGTCCTTATGCACTGTTGATTCTTATGTCGACATTGTCTTTATTTTCAAACGACCCGTCTCAGATGCATACAGACGTTGAACGCACACACGCACACAAACATAAACATTAAGTAACGATGCCTTGTAGATGAGTAAAAATTTTTAAAAAAAGCGTCCAATGTTTAAAAAACAAAGCCATCGAATATTTAATTATAATAAACTTCATGACATTGACTTATTCCGATGGTCCGGTATTCTTGCAATCTAATTTGTCCTTACTTGGCGTCTCGGCTTCAGTCACTTTCTCACCAACGTAAAGTTGCTTCTCTGTGCCTTTTCTATAAATGCTTTCACAATAATTGTTCAGACGTGTCCTTTGCTAGGGCACGTAGTCTCAGCTATTTACAGTTGAATTGGCTACATGTAACCGTAAGTTCTATGCTAAGACTTTCTTTTCTCGTACTTCTCGTTTGTGGAACTCTCTTCCGGCTTCTTGCTTTCTAGTCAAGTTTGATCCTTAAAAATTGAAATGCAATGCCAATCGTTATCTACTGTTTTCCTGATTCTTCTTCTATTGTTCTCTTTCTTTAATAATGTTTTATGTTTTCTAATTCTTTCACACCCAGTAACCAACCCCTTCTGTCTTTACTGCCTTACTTGGGATGAGTCTCCGATTATATATATATATATATATATATATATATATATAGGTAGACAGAAAGGTAGACAGAAAGTTAAATAGAATGAGTGGGGGAGGTAAGGATAAATGAAAACATATATAAAAAGATAAAGGGAAACTAAGAAAAAAATCGACATTAAAAATTAAATGAAATTGGATTCGCGCTGCTCCCCAAAAAATGCTCCGATCGTTTGTGTAGTACATCGTTAAGAATCGAAAGAGAGGGAGAGAGCTAGAGTGAGAAAGAGAAGAAGAAGAAGACGAAGAAGAAGAAGAAGAAGAAGAAAGAAGAAGAAGAAAAAGAAGAAGAAGAAGAAGAAGAAGAAGAGAATATTAAGACAAAAAAAAGGTCAGAATATAAAATAAGGTGGGATTACTAGATAATTTTTGTTCCCTGATTTTACAAGTAGACGAGTAACCTGAAGCGTTAACTGAACTTACATAATTTCAGGATTTCGAGTGAAAGTAAACTTACAGTGACAAACTTCGGGCTACTATTGCAACTACTTTTATAAAAATGTGGACCCATCGTCTACTCTTTACTGGAATGGAACTCACACTGAAAGTAGAGAGACATAATTGTTAAAAGTGGCTTTTACAATGTAGATAGATAGATAGATAGATAGATAGATAGATAGATAGATAGATTCAAGAATGAACAAACTCATGTTGTTTCATAAAGATAAACACAGTCAAATAAATGCATATATATATAGAGAGAGAGTGAGGGAGAGCGGTAGGTGAATTATGATAATGGGAGAGAGAGTTTAATTATGAACAGACACATATTTATTAATATAGATAGATATATAGATATGAACAAAGATATAAAAAGAAAAAATACAGATGGATACAAGATTATAGATAGATAGATAGATAGATAGATAGATAGATAGATAGATAGATAGATATGAATGGACTGAGATAGATATTAATAGGCTGAGATAGATATTAATAGGCTGAGATAGATAGATAGATGGATAGATATGAACTGACTGAGATAGAGAAAGAGAGATACGAATAGACAAGTGTTGGTAGATAGATAGATAGATAGATAGATAGATAGATAGATAGATAGATATGAATGGACTGAGATAGATATTAATAGGCTGAGATAGATATTAATAGGCTGAGATAGATAGATAGATGGATAGATATGAACTGACTGAGATAGAGAAAGAGAGATACGAATAGACAAGTGTTGGTAGATAGATAGATAGATAGATAGATAGATAGATAGATATAAAAAAACTGGGATAGAGAGATAGATACAGATCCTTATAGACTAGTGCAAATAGATAGATAGATAGATAGATAGATAGATAGATAGATAGATAGATAGATAGATATTAATAGCCATAGATAGAAAGAAAGAAAGAAAGAAAGAAAGAAAGAAAGTGTCCGTCGTATAATAGTTAGAAATCTTTCTTTGCTCAATGGATGTGTTCAGTTCCGAGTGCCTCATGCAAATGGCGTTAAGCCAGACCAATCTTTACGTAAGTTAGATTGATAAACCGATCACGTTTGTTTCGGAGACTTTGTAAAGAGTCTGCGGATATTTTCCCTGATATACGGTCACGTAGCTAAAAAAACAATAATCAGCAGGTGAGCCTCCCTGACCAGTCATATAGATTAACCAACACGGCGTACTCCACCCGTGAAACCTTGTGTCAGGCCAAGTTGAAGTGAAGAAATTACGTTAGCTGTATTGTTATTTGTTTTTTTTTTTTTTTAGCTTTTGAGGGTAGTTAAAGCCAGAAGATATTTTTAGATTATATCAATTTTACGGGGATAATAATGATTTACTAACACAAGTCCTACTAATTAACCATAGCTGGAGGGTAAAATAAGTGGGTTTATACATTTCCCAAGAATATTTGCATGAATGAATTTCACAAACCCAACTGGAATTGGAACTCTGCTCTCCGATTTCCAATTCCGAGCCGTTAACACCACCCACAAATCTAAGCTTACAGCACCTGGTATTCAGAAGCGGTCACCCATCTAGGTACTGACCAGGCTCGACGTTGCTTAACTTCGATGATCGTTCTAGAACCGGGTTTTCAACGTGATATGTCCGGTAACCGAGCAGAGGATAGCGTGCTTGTACACAAACTAATTCGTCTAACGTGAGTTCGATCCTTGCTTGATTAATGTCATTCTGACAGGCGGTTACGTCCTGAAAATATGAATTCCATTCAGTAATAGGGAGTGAGATGTGAATACAGTCATTACTGAGGGCCTCGCACTTGTGTCAAAGTAAACCAAATAAAATAAATCCCTTTAGGACTTACAGATCAACGCAAGGAAATTTGTTTCTCTGTGTCGCGCCAGAAGGTTTTTCTCGCCTGAATCCATCCTCCTACAAATCTACCTTCGTCCTTTCATTGAATACTGTTGCCATATATGGTCTGGTTCCCCCGCTGATCATCCAGAGACGGATATGCCACTGTGATTGGCCCTGATCTGGTATTTCGTCTACAGTCACTTTCTCACAGACGTGTTGTGGCTTCCCTCTGTCTTTTCCGTAAATATTTTCATGGCAACTGCTCTGACGAGCTACTTTCGCTGGTACACCAACTGTATGAATTTAAGCGTGATACTTGGTTGGCACCTAGGTCCTACCCTTTTAGTGTCGAAACAGGTAAATATAACCGCCTCTTCTACTCCAAAAGCTCCTTCTCCCGCAATTCCCGAAAGTAACTTCCTTACTCTTACTTGCTTCCCTGATTTAATCTTCAAATATTCAAATGTATTGTCAATCGACATCTTCTGATGTCTTGATCCTGATCCCCATCTTCATCATTCCCTCAACCACCTACCTGTACTTTTATTTTTACACTCTATAACCCCTTGCATGCTAGTTACCCCCCCCCAGTCTTGCTTGGGTTGAAATGCTTAAAAAATGAATTTAATACTGTAATGTGCCCGTTCTTCCCTCTGTGACCCATGTTTGTGTCATTGTGCCTGCCTAGCTTCAGTTTAGTAAATATTAAGATAAAGACAATATTCTACTAAACAGATGCAGATATGGAAACGATTAAGCTAATTTTTTTTTTCCGATACGGAACGAAAGATTGGGCTCTGCCGATAGGATGTGTCCGTAAAAAAAAAACAGCAACAAAAAAAAACTTGTACATTATTCGGACTATTGTTCTCATCTTTGTCGCCATATTCATTATAACGTTTCGGCCGTTGTACGCTCCGGCCTTCTTCAGGTGGTTGGAATGTCGAACTGGACCCTTTCGCTCACTGGGGTAGACTGTTCTAGTTCCACATGCCATGTTTAATGGATTTCAGTTATCAGTTATCTCCTGTTAATTTGCCTCTGGAAGTTCTCCACAATCGGGTATTGAACTCACACTCTTTGGTTCCTGTTACTAACCAACGCCTTTATCCACTGTGCCATGTGTCCTTCAGCACATCTGTGTATGAATTTCTGGATATTATAAACCTAATGTCTTCAGCAACCATTATTACCAGTGCTCATATTGCAATTTTTACTGTTATCACTCATGTTTTTACCAGAGCTCATATTGTTACTTTTGTCGTTATTATCGCTTTTCTCTGGCACTCCTTATTACTGGTTCCCATATTGTATTCATTTCTATGCTTGGTCGGCTCAGGAGATTTTTGTGACTTAGCATATGTGTTGATTCCTTAAGTTTACGAATTTTCCAATGGTGTTCCTTATCTATGATTTCAACCTGATCCCACAGAGGGCGGTGATCTCCCTTTTCTCTCCATATCTGGTCAGCCACACTTGATTCTTTCACTTCCCTTCGTGTTACAACTTTCTGGTGTTCTTGAAGACTGACGGGATAGCGTACACACAGACTTTAGTCATGTTCTCCTCTATGGGGGGGAGGGGGTCTCACTCGTGAGAGATACCTGCGAAGTGTTGTCAAGCTTTTGAAGGTTGTCCTGATGTTATATGGACCGCTGATCCTTTGTATTTTCTCTGATAACCCCTTCACATAAGGCAGGCAGACTGTTTTTATAAGTGTTGTTGTCCACCTCTTGTACCCGCCTATCCCAGTTTTTTTTGGCTGCTGCCGTGTACCCAGGGTAGTTGTTACGTTGTAGGGTACTACTTATACTGACCAATTCTTTATCTAATGTCTCTGGGTCGCCACTTATGACTTTTGCTCGGTATTATAACTGGAGTCTGTGGTAAAGGGAAAAAGGTAT